CAGCGCAATATCAAACACAAAGAAATAAAATAATACATACATTGAACAAATATAATAGCCAGCAGGAGAAATTAAAACAGATGCCAATGAAGGTGGTCTTTGGTGTGTAAAGATATTTTTCAAGCTTGATTTTAGTTATTTATCTATTACTAAAGGATGTAACAGCATTCCGTGTCTAGCCACGCTGGCCACGTGACCATGGAAACTGTCTTTGGACAAATGCTGGCTCTACGGCTTGAAAACGGGGATGAGCACCATGCCCTAGAGTCAGACACGACTGGATTAAATGTCAAGGGGAACCTTTACCTTTACCTTAAAGGATGTTGAGTTCTAACATTAGTGTTCAAATTGTTTTGAATCTGTTTTAAGGACTGTTTTCAAATAATTGTGTATCACTGTAAGAGCTCCTCACAAGCTGAAAAGCAATATATAAGTATTTTTAACAAATAAATGTGTAAATTTGTTTTGCTTTACAATTTTTTTAAAAAAGCCCTGCATGCTGTGAATTTGTTTTGATCATTATTTTGTGTGTGTGTATATATACAGTATGTGTATGTATATATATATATATGAATGTATACATACATTCTGTATACTGCAAATAGATTTTGCTGGTGAGTGGCTAGCGAATAATTTAAATAAAATAACCTAAATAATTAAATAATGAATTTATTATATCTGACTGTATCAGTATGCAGTAAGATTTATACTAGAGCTGGGCTGCTTCTGGAGGTGTGGGGACCAAACACACCCACCCAAGACCTTGGAGGTCTGTCTCACCTCCCCACTTCCATTGTATTTGCCCCCAAACCACAATTTGTCCAAACAAGCAGTGTGACTTAATGAGCAACTCTGGAGGCAATGTGGTGTTGCTCATGCATGGAGCATCAAACTGGTTTAGGGTCTATCTAGACCTGAGCTGTCTCTTTTCTTGTTCCATCTTTCCATACTTTTCATTTTTGAATTCTGAACTTTGTGTGTTCCATTTGTCTTGTCTTAAGCTGAGAATGAGCTGACAGTCTCAATGAAATCAGCATGAGCAGCTTTAGTCTCCTACCATGCCAGGGGAAGACAGTCTGAATCCTTTTTCCTGGAAACTTCAGCCAGAAGGATTTTTTGTATCCGTATTTAACTTTATCAGCAGGGCAGAGGAACAGACCGTGAGAAAACAGACATCACTGTGATTAAATTAGGCCCCTTGGTACCATTAACCACAAAGTCCCTATTGCAATTATCCTCTCAAGGTTGCCTGCTCTTGGCCAGTTGTCATTAACATGTCTTCCCTGTTTGAAGTTGTCACGAACCAGGACAGCCCTAATGCCACAAGACATCTCTTCCCACAGATTCTGCCATGGTGTGTGCTTCCTGCCAACTTCATTCAATCCTCTTTCCTCCCTTAATAATGGAACACTGCTGCTCTTTCTCTCTGTGCATCTTCTTCCTCTGCCCTCAAAGTACTTGATTGACGAGTCTTCCCAACTTTGATCAGGTGATGATGAAATCTGGGTCACCATGGAAATGGTCCTTCTTGTAGGCTCTTCTTCCTTCAGATTATTCCAGTATCCCACTGCAGGTTTTCATGAAGAAATGCCCCACAGTCAGTAAAGAAATAACACATAAAATAAGTTTGAGGGTTGCTCTGCTGGACTGTGATTCCAGCCAGAGCTGTATCATCGGTAGGAGAAGGGGTGAAGGATGCATTCATGCTTCCCTGAAAAAAGAGTTCACATTGCTTTTTTGTTTTCAGTCTCCTCCATTATCAAGACTTGGTGCAGAGCAGATTTCGCCCTCCAAAGAAGTGCCATAAAGCGTCTGAAATATAATCTGATCTCAGGGGGAGTTAAGCTAGTTTCAGCCTACTGAGTTTAGCTGCTTATCCATCTGGTCATTTATTATTTCTGCCACTTTTTTGGCAGTGTTTTGCAGATTTTCTCTCTTATCCTTCCAACAATCCCATAAAATTAGGTTATGCTTCATACACAGCACTTTCAATATTGGGGAAAATACATGAAACCCGCATGGAGATCATCATGTATTTATTGCAGATGATCCTAGATATGGTCAGATTCATATATGATGAGACTTGCAGTGTGTTCCCAGTATGCATATTTCTCATGTATATGGACCATGCATTCAGTTGATCCATGACAGCTGTAGATTTGAGTCAGTGTTCGTTGTGGAGCAGTTTTCCTTGGGGGCAGGGGAGAAGGCAAGATAGAAATTGCAGTGAAGTAGCTCTAAGAGATTGTGTCTAGAACTTCTGGTGAGATTAGTTACTGAACTAGGTGCCATTTGCAACTGGCCTTCCCAAGTTTAAACATAAACAGTCCAGCCATATCACCACACAAGCTTTCAAGTGACAATTAGTTGCAACCTCTCACCAATGAATGAGCAAATACACGCATACTTTAGCATTTATTTGTTGCAGATTAAAAAGAAAACTGAGAATGAAATAGGATAGAGGAGAGAAGGAATGGTTTGTGTTAAAGTATTAGGGAAAATAAGTTAGCACTTACAGTATTGGTGAGACTAAAAGCACTATATTGAATGCAGTGTAGACAGGACATGATCAGTGAGGAGAAATATGTAGGGTTCCTTAGAAAGGCCAGTCAGTTTCCTTTTTTATATGGTTTTGGTAACAATCTTCTGACAGTAAAGGCACCAGATGGGAGGTTTATGATACTCCTGCCTGGTATATAGAGTTGGGTTATATTGCTTAATGTTTTCTCATCCTAATGAGGCACATCTTATCCTGATATAATATCCATGAAATTCTGTGAGAAAGTAATGGGTTTTTTTTGTTCACTCCTCAAAAATCATTCAGTGTGTGTTGGCAGAGTGTGGAAATTGCTAGTTTAAAATCTCCAGACTCCCCGGAAAAAACTCTGATGTTGGGAAAGTGTGAAGGCAAGAGGAGAAGGGGACAACAGAGGACGAGATGCTTGGACAGTGTCACCGAAGCTACCAACATGAATTTGACCCAACTCCAGGAGGCAGTGGAAGACAGGAGGGCCTGGCGTGCTCTGGTCCATGGGGTCACGAAGAGTTGGACATGACTTAATGACTAAACAACAACAAAGTTAAACTCTTGACCATTTTAAGTATTCTCAGTTTTTAGGGTGTACCTGTATATCCTTATCCAGGCATTATGTCAGAAACTGGGTTGGGCATGAAACATAATGGGGACATAGTGAACACTAGAATTGGGTTGGCTTTGAAGCATGATCATAGCATGGAGACACATGTAAGTGCCAACCCCCATATCCGTATCCCACCTAGACATCATTTGTGTATTCACAGTGACAACCAGTGGTGGTTGTTTAGTTCATTCCATTGAGTGTCCTTAAATTATTTCTGTAATTGAGAAATCTGATAAGGAAGGGCTTCCACTCACAGAAATGTGGTAGGCATTTGAGTGTACTTACAAGCATCACTGCAGGTCTGCACAACTTCTGAGTGAGGTGTGGATTCAGAGGGCAGGACTTAGACACATGCCCCTGCCCCCACCATGGTTTAATCTGTACCTGATTTCAGTGTGTGTGTATATATATTTGAAATATTTATACTCCAACTAAAAAGGACCCAAGGTGGCTTATAGCACTGGTTCTTAACCTTGGGTTATTCAGGAGTTTTGGACTGCAACTCCCAGAAGCCTTCACCACCAGCTGTCATGACTGGGGTTTCTGGGAGTTACAGTTCAAAAGCATCCGAGTAACAAAGGTTAAGAACCACTGGCTTACAGTACTAAAATCTAACAATGATAAATTATTGCGATATTAACAAAATAATTAAATATAATTTTAAAAACATGAAAAACTAATTAAAAACAACAGAAATACAATAGTCCCATTTTAAGAACCTCTCTTTTACAGCCAACCATGAAAAAAGGCCTGCCTAAAGAGGAAACTGCTTGCAGTTTGCCTGCTTGCGGAAAACAGCAAAGGTGAGGCCAGCCTGGCTTCCCATGGAAGGGAATTCCAGAGTCTTGGAGCAGTGACAGAGAAGGCCTTTTCTCGAGTCTCCACCTATGCACCTGTGAGAGTGAGAAAAATGCAGCCCCTGATTTTCTTGAAACCTGGGCGGGCTCATAAAGGAAGATGCTGTTTTTGAAGTAACTTTGATCCAAGCTATTTAGGGCTTTATAGGTTAAAACCAGCACTTTGAATTGAATGTAATGTCCAAATAGGGCTTATGTTTAAATAGACGTCTGTAGGAAGAACCATTTGGAAGATTTAAACTAGACCAACGGAAACTATTTTCTACTTCTTTTGCTTTCATGCTTGTAGCAAGTAACCTCTGAGCTTTCTTGTTTGGGAATGCAGCAAGTCGTTCCAAATATATTCAGGTTATAGAAGTTTTTAGGAACTTTTGGTTAGAAACATGAAGAGCTGTTGTAAGTCAGACTGAACAAGAGGTTACTAGTATAATGGCAGTGAGCCTCTTGTTTACTCTGGTATGCTTTTGTGTGTTTGTATGAACTATCACTTGTTCATAAGGAGAATGTGGCCAGAATATCAGAAGTGGAGTTGGTGAATTCAGTTTCACTTCTACTCAGAGATTCATTGGCTGAAATCAATAGTAAATCACAGCTAGAGTAGGCCCATTGAGTCAGTGGGGATTTGATGAGTCAACTCCTCTGTAAACTCCATTGATTTAGTGAGCCTACTGTAGTTGCAACTTACTAATGGATTTCAAACAATTCATTTGTCTATATAATCCTTCACATTCTCTCGCTTTCTATAATAGGAGGGAATTGCCTTTAGTTTCCCTGCTGAGCTGAGCTACCCTGAATGTGATAAAGTTTAAAACTGTACTCAGTGCTTTTGTCAGTGCTTTGCTGAGTAGAATCTTAATTTACCTTGGACCTCTGCTGACACAGAAAACTGGTTAACTCTTTTGATGGCTGTATATACTTTCGCTTGAGGAACAGAAGACTGTAGTGTCCGGTGTGTTACTGCTATTGTGGTTTTTTTGTAATATGCTTTTTTGTTTTCATCTAGCCTCCATAGTGCTTCAGAAGTGGTGGTGCCAAATGCAACCATGTCTAGAAGGTGAGGAGTGTAAAGTGCTACCAGATTTGTCTGGATGGAGCTGCAGTACTGGAAACAAAGTAAAGACAACCAAGGTATTTCTTGGCCAATTTCTCCTTGACGTAGTGTTGATCCAAAACCAGAGGGAAACACCTGAGGGCTGATTTTTTTTAACCCACAAAAAAGGAAATTTTGTTACCATTTTGATGTGGTATACTATGTATCTCTCAGGCCTTTTTTTAATAGCCCAGACTTATGTGGTGAATGTCTCAGCCATTCACAAGACAACTCAAAGACTGGGTTTGAAAATGAAACAGAATGTGATTACAAACATCACTTTGCAGGGTAAAAAGAAATAGTTATTTATATTTACATGGAATAATTTAAGCAAATGATAAAATGATTTTGACTAAGGGAATTAGGATGCAACATACAGTATAAGCAAGTCTACCACTATTCCAACATAGGGAATAATAATTTGTTGCTGCTGTTGCTGCTGCTGTTGTTATTAGGCAGCTTCTGTAGTGGGGGTAACTAAAAAAAGATTTTCATAGTCAGTGCAATGGCAGGATGTACAGGAAGAGAATTATGGCAGAGGCTGTAAGTCAGCAAAGCAACTAAGATCCACAGCTGAGTGGCAGAGACTTTGAGAGAACTCAAAGGAGCTTCAGTGTGAAAAAATTCAAAAGGAGAGTGTATGGGCATAGGAAAGACTTCATCTCACATAAGTACACATGGACACATTGCCAATGTATATGAAGCTGTTTGAAAAATATCAGACACAACTGTGTTACCCTCAGTTGCAACCATATTTATATTCTTGCTGTTAAAATATGTGTTTAAGTGATGTGATTACAGCTATCCTTCCTCACATGAATAAACTGAGACAAGCTTACTCTGAACTTCATTCAAACCCTCTACCTAAATGTATCCTATATATGCTGCACAGCATCCAAGAACAGAAGGACAGATGAGAAGTGACGATTATAGTGCTCATAATAAAATGTCAGTTGCCTCGTCAAAGCAAACATAAACCAGTAAATTGGAATGGCTTTGTGGTTGTCTGTTCTCAAGTGTGTTTAGCAGTATCACTTCTTGCAAGAGATGTAAATATGGAGGCAAAGTTCTTCCTAATAAAAGTAAGAGTTGTGTCCATGTATTTCTAAGACTTCTGCCAGCCACTGCCTGTTGGCTGATGGAGCAGGCTTCCTATTCTTTTCATCATGATCCATCCAAGGACTTTCCAGCCTGTCACACTTCCTCCAGTTGGAGCAATCATCTGTGACAGAGAGCTACATGATTATTATTTTCATGGCTTGCTGAATACCCTGAAGAACAAGGTATAATTAAAATTTTATCAAACTCATTAGTAATTACATGTATGTCATAGTTAATCAGTTGCATAATTTTGTAATCATTGTTCATACAGTGGAGTGTAATTATTCTTCAGGCTTTGCTTGCTTCGCACTTCAATCTCTTTTCCACACGAACACCCCATAAAAATTATTCTGTGAAATACAAAGTCTTGTTTTCTCCCCTTATCTTTTACTCCACAAATAACATGTTCACAGCAAAGTATTTTAAGAAAAATGAACATCAGAGCTGCTTCCAGTGGCTCAGGTGTCAAAACACTGCTGAGTAATCCAACAAGATTTGCACCATGAACCTTGTTTTATCTTGTGGCCGTTCCCTTTTGCTTAGTTTCCTACGTTTTTATTTGCACAACTGTATTTTGGTTTTGTCAAAGTGCTGTACTCATGGTAGCAACAGTTTTGGCCTGCAGCCACACTCCTAACAATGCCGACAAGAAACAATGTATGTCATTGTGGCATATTTCTAAAATAGTTAGATTGCCTTGATCTGTTTTATACTTGAGGCTTTATGTACTCCAGAAGCATGATGCAAACAATTGCCATTGAAAACATAACGTAACATTTATTTGTTTGGTCAATTTGAAAGAACTCATTCACAGGAACAGAGGACATATAGGTTCAGTGCTTAGACTGCACAGAAATGGCAAGACTGAAATCATAATAGAGAACTGATGCTGTGGTAGGGTGACAAGAAATACTAAAGTAATGAATTAAGCTGAGGAGGGTGCATCAGATACCCACCTACAGCTGGATGCAAGCCTAGTTCAATATGTGTTCGTACCTGAGGAAAAGGACAAGATACCACCACATCTACATTGCAAATACCAAAGCCAACGGAGATGGCACTGGAGTCTTATTCCAAAAACTGGTGATGTAATAGTGTTCTGCATCTCAGCTGATGGAGCAAACTAGGGTAGCAGGCCCAGGGAGGGCTGTGTGCCATGGACAGGCCTGTCCTCTAACAGAAGGCAAAAGCAGGCAATACAGGAAGAAGTACAGGATAAAGGAAGGGCTTCACTGCTGAACACAGTTGCCTTCACTGCAGGGCTAGTGTGCTTTTTTTGCTCACACTAGCATGTATAGGTTGCAGAGGAAAAGAGGTAAATATTGTCAGTTTCCTTAAAAATATGTGCATGCAGGTATCCTATACCTGTGACTCATGTCTGATAAGTAGAAGTAGCTTTGTCCTTTCCACCTTACTTTATCTGTGTGCAGCTTCAAAGAACAGCATGAGTTTTATGAGTTGCTTTCCTCAATCTGATGTCTCAGTCTCTGCATTAAAGCAAATTGTCTCTGTTTGTTCTGCTCTCTCTGTAGAACTGCTATGGTGTTTGTAGTTGAGTAGTTAAATAATAGACTTATCTTTCTTTTTTGTTTGTGGGGTCTCTACTGTGTAAAAATTGGGCTCTGCACACACGCACACACACACACACGCACGCACGCACACACACACACACACACACACACACACACACACACACACACACACACACACACACACACACACACACACCCCCCTCTCACACCCAC